GTGTCCTTGGGAAAAGCACTTTACATGACTTTCCTCACCTCGCCCAGGTAAAAATGAGTATTGCATATGTTCCTTATGTTGTTTGCGGCACTAATATAAGAAAATATAAAAAAAACTTGAGTGTGCCGTCATCACGTCTTCTGATTATATGTTGGATTATATGTTCAATACTATACAAAGGAGATTGGAAATTGGTATGGACAGGCACATACTGTGAATAGATGTTAGTCGGTTGAGTGATCGCCTTGAAAAACATCCACCCCGTACGGAAAAAAAATCTTATGGACAAGAATAATCTATTAAAATCGAAAAAAATGCTAATGAACAAAGTCTGCTAATAATAACCTCCGCTTATATAAGTTGACTACACTGCGGTATGATTAAAATGAACCAGGCAACAGGACAACTCGCGCTTTCCCGCCAAAAGCCCGGGCAAATTCGGCTCCCAATAGTCTGGTTATCCAGCTGTAGTATTACCTAAAACAAATGAAATTCGCGATGTCATGACTTGTTGATGGAGCGGTCATCAACGCGAAAACTGTGAAAATAAAAGCCACCACGAACATTACAAGATATACAGTATTAAAATGATACCAGGATTTCACCCCCCGGCAAAGTGGGACAGTCCACACAGAGTAACAAGTATTTAGAGGTCAATGACAGGTCAAACTATGGAAAAGGTCGCACTTTTTGGCCGTGTTTTAAAAATATACATTCTTACCAGAAAACTGGGACTTTCTGAGCACAATTTCCCAGGAAAAAAAAAACATATCTAAAAACTAGAATTCCGAGATCTCATACCTCCATGAAATATGATCTTAATATGTAAATGTAAATTTCTTCTTTAATTGTGCAAATGACCTGCATTAACATGATATATGCATCGTGATGTATGTTAACTTTTGATTAACTTACAGATGTCCCAAGTATGACATCATTCACCATTATGAAATCAAAGAATTTTCGCATTAATTATGCAAATTAGGTCATCATTTGCATAATTAGTATCTGTTGAAGTTCCGCCTGCCATAGGTTACATACATTACATGTATGTTAGTAGTATAATGTAAAACACTAATTATAGAATTTCCTCATTAATTATGCAAATAAAGTCCCCATTTGCATAATTTGCATTTAATTATGTACATCTCTCTCTCAGCTACCTACACACCAAAAATAATGAAAATATGTTGTTCCTGTCTGGACTTATTGGCTTTTAAACATTTCGCCAGAAAGTGCCCTGCAGTTCCAGAACAAGCCGCTGGGGGGCCCAAACTCATATGACTTCTTCTCAAGCACGAGAGCTACCTTCCATCAAAATGTCATGACCCTAGCATGTCCAGATCGCGAGAAATCAAATCCAGAAGTTGCGCTGCAGTACCAAGGGAAGCCACTAGGGGGGCCAAAATCTCATCATTTTCAGTTTTCGTCACACCCTACCAACACACCAAGTATGAAACCAATCCATCCAGGCGTTCTTGAGTTATCTTGTTGACCAACAGACAGACGGACAGATAAACGCAACTGAAACTAGAGTTCGACAATCTCATACCTCCATGACATGTTTAGTGCTTTCGTAAAGCTTATGCATAGTGATGATCACATAAATGGCTTACATTTACAATCCTGCTCATTAGCAAAATTTTTATACAAATTAATCACATAGCCCCTACCTAGTAACATACAACACACTGGTGAAATCCTTACCATTTAACATGAACAACGTACTAGTATGATATTGTTGGTTATCTGCAAGTATGACCCCTGACATACCTTTGCCAACTCATGTTTGCCATCCAAGCTGACGAATTATACATTTTTTTACTGCCAATATGCAAATTATAAGAGCACATTTGCATATATTATATCATTTGATCATATTCTCCGCCCAATGACAGGGTTATCTTAAGATATAAGGCTATTCTAGCGTTTCCTCATAAATTATGCAAATGAGGTCCTGATTTGAATACATTATGTTTAGTGATGTTCGCCTTAATTGAACTTCCAAGTATGGCAAGTATTAGATTCACAGCAGTTACCACCGTAAAATTGTACCAATTTTCCATTAATTATGCAAATTAGGTCTTCATTTACATAATCAATATCTACCAAAGATCTTGTTGTTCTCAATTACATGTCTAAAGTGTTTCATAGCCCTAATATGGAATACAGCAGAATTATGAAAATTAGATCCTGATTTGCATAATTGTATTTTAATCATGTCAAGCATCATTTCAGCTACCTACATACCAAAAATCATGACGATCCATCAAACAGTTGTTAAGTTATCCTCTCTCGAATATTTTTAAAGAAACCATCCTGCAGTTCCAGAACAAGCCGCTAGGGGGCCCAAACTCATGTGACTTCTTCCCAAGCACGAGAGCTACCTATCATTCAAATTTCATGACCCTAGCATGTCCAGATCGCGAGATATCAAAACCGGAAGTTGCGCTGCAGTACCAAGGGAAGCCAATAGGGGGACCAAAATCTCATCATTTCTAGTTTTCGTCACACCCTACCAACACACGAAGTATGAAACCAATCCATCCAGGCGTTCTTGAGTTATCTTGTTGACCAACTGACAGACGGACAGATAAACGCAACTGAAAATATAACCTCTATGACACATTTCATGGAGGTAAATATAACCTCCATGACACATTTCATGGAGGTAAATATAACCTTCATGACACATTTCATGGAGGTAATAAGTCCCAAAATATATCATCTGTAAAAAGTCCCAAAATATACCACATATCGGTGTACACACTTCTACTTCTGGGCATGGCGATTTAGTGGTCCCTCCCCTGTATGCACTTGAAGGGAAGGCGAAGGGTGAACGACCGAGAGGGCGTCCACAAAGGACTTGGACCAGCGACTTGAAAGGGCGGACATGACAACTCTTAAACCAGCTAACAAGTCTAGCGGAGGACCGCCAGGGGTGGAAGAGCTTTGTTGACTGCCTTGTTGCCCCGACGGCAGTCACCTGACTGCTATGGGACTTGTGAGGTGAGGTGAGGATGCACTATAACCAGCTGTAGGTTCGGACTTTGGACTTTTCATGAACTCGGACTTTGATCTGATCAGGGTCATTACGGGTTCGAATCCTGCCATGTCCCCAATTTGTGACCTTAACTTAAACTCATGTTTCCGAACTTACCTTAATAATAATAATAAATGGTTTTTATTGTTCAAACAGTACCCATGCAGTCGCAGCCTGTATACGGCTGAATTGATGCAGTGTATTACATAATCTTGACAAATCACAACAATTAAATAATACACATGATACACATATTTGTTCCACAAATTATTGTGGAACTGTCGCAAGGGTCTATACGGCAGCCATTCGGCGCCAGGTGACCTCAATACGACTTTCCCCAACCGAAGTTAGGTACCTATTCACACCTGGGTGGAGTGAGGAAATTCGTGTAATCCACCCAGGTGAACAAGACTACCTAGCTTCGGTTGGAATTATTTGTGGAGAGTAACACCGCACACGTACACGCATGTTATAAACAATACCAACCATAAAACCTATTGACAAGTGTAGGGTTCTTCAGAGTGTGAGTAGTTATAAACCTTACCGTCCCATGGCTTCCCATGGGGTACGTATTGATGTAACCTGAGTTAGCCACGAATGACTGCCGCTGCAAACCCTTGCGATTCAGCCCCACCAATTGAAGCCATCGTAAAATCCTTACAATGCAATCCTTAGATGCAAGAACAGAGTAGTCGGCCTACCCAAAAACAACGTATAGCAATTACAAATCTCTGCCTGTACCCATGCAACCACTAATTTAAAGGTCTTATTAATACATTAACTCAAACCTGGCGTATTCTTGTACCATTCAGGATGCGCAGTTTCCACCTCCGGAGCTGTCGTGCACAGAAGAATCTCGATTTTGCAAGTACTTTGTCGCACTAGTTTGAGCCCAAATTACTATTGACAACGGAGCTCTCCTACAACCGATGCGAACCGGGGTGCGTTGCGGCCACTGTGCGCTGCGGCCGAACACTTCGGCCGATGTACTCTGCGCGCGCCAGTTAGCGCAGGGTACAAATGTATCATTCCGCCTGCTCGTAAAATGCACTGTACATGTGGTATGTCATTCGTATACATGTGTTATGCTATCTTTCCTGTTCTTTCAATCATGTTGTAAAATTTGTCAAAGAGTGTAAAAAGCAGGCCATCACATCATAAAAATACACGATGCAACGATTTAACCTTGTCAACAGTGCCCGTTCTAGAGTACAGTGTACCAGGGGATCGGTGACCTCAGCCATGACCCCTACCATGGCGGTCTGGAGTTGTTTACGGTTTGAAACGCCGTTTGATTTTGTGCCAAGTAGTTCATTTAAGGCCACATGGACTTAGGGGTGAATTGGTGGAATGCTAAAGTTGCACGTCGTCTTTGTACGAAGGCCCACAACGACAGTTCCACAGTGCGCTGCCAAGGGACCTTCCATAGCGCGATTCCGCGCACCTTCCACAGCGCGCTGCCAAGGGATATACCTTCCATAGCGCGATTCTGCGAACTTTCCACAGCGCGCTGCCAAGGGACCTTCCATAGCGCGATTCTGCGGACTTTCCACAGCGCGCTGCCAAGGGACCTTCCATAGCGCGATTCTGCGGCCCTTCCACAGCGCGCTGCCAAGGGACCTTCCATAGCGTGATTCTGCGGACTTTCCACAGCGCGCTGCCAAGGGCCTTCCATAGCGCTCTTCCGCGGACCTTCCACAGCGCGCTGCACCTAGTCCCTACAACCCCTCCCCTATTTTAGCGGACGGTCCCTTATAGTGGACGACCTGTGACCTGATGGGTCAAGGATCGTGCCGTATATTATGGGTATTTACATTACAGCTAGCTTGCGTGCCGGCCGTTGCATGCCAGCATAATTTTTGTGTTCTAGTGTAACGTTAGACTTAGAGTAGAAGAAGATTTCCTGTGTTTTTATGTAATTGTCTTATTTTTTTGGGGTTTCCCACCCCTCCCACGTGTGCAGAATTCAAGAAAAGACGGCTCTTTGAGGTGAGTTGGTTTTCTAATGATAAGTATTTTATGACAACTACTAAGCTAGCTTTTGCCAGCAAATTATAAAAAAAAAACATCTAGTAACCTCCATTACCATCAATACACCATCTTGACGTAAAACTAACAGTCATTGAGAAAGACATCTTTACTGCAACGTGCCCCAAGTTACTATGCAGTAAGGACTTTTTTCCATATAAAACATATAGTTATGTTTAATATTGTTTGATTCTATATTAAAGTTCATTTTGGTTCGCCATTCAGTTTGCTCCTGATCTAAGGCCTGGCTATGGAAACATCTGTACCAGCTCCTTGTCTTCGGCAGTATGACACTGGTAAGAAGTTCTATGAGCTTTTTTTCCCTATATGCCTTGCAGTTTGTTATCTTCCTTAATATCTTAAAAAAATCAAACACAACTTAAGATGTGTTATATTTCTTTTTTTAATCTATGACTGTGAAATAAATATTTACCTTTTCCCATCTCCTCACCTGGGAAATTTATATAAGCTGTAATAAGTGTATAAAGAAATTGACCAATAGTAGCCCTAACAAGTTTGCTTTTATCCATCTAACTTGGCACCGTATGAATTTCAAATTCTTAGCATTGTGGATTTATTTGCAAATCTAGCTTTTTTCTATAATTTACCCGACTATACTTAACCCATAAATGTGCTTGTCACTGGATAAAACTATTCCATGCATCTTATTTTGTTGGTGACCATAGCAGAATCAATTCCAAATGTGGCATAGTTTACCATGTTTCTTCACCACACATGCCTGTCCTGTACTATGATTTATATTTCCTTACAGAGGATGACCTTCTCCGTGACTACTGGAGAAGAGGATACCAGTACTCTGAAATTTCTCTTTTTTTATCACAATTTCACAATGTTCACCTCAAGTAAGTAATGGCTGTTAACATGTTAAGTACATGTATGCAGGTCTATCATACAATTTGGGCCAGGTTCATCTGTAGTTGGCTATAATCTGTTTAGGAGGAATAATGAAATATATAGGTGTTATTTTTCACTGTATAGGCTATTGTTTAATGTGATGCAGACTAACAGTTTTCCTTTTGTTTCATTTAATAAAATATGATCTTGCTGTTTTCTAAAAATTTACATTCAGAGTACAAAATAGTGTGTGTGTATGCACCTTTGTGCACCTAAAACTGGAACGGTTTCTGTGCACCTAATTTTTGTAACCTACATTAAAATTACAATACACTATATTTCTAACATTAGTGTGTCAGAAAAATAACAAGAAGCAATAGGTGACAATCCTCCGTGAAGTTTTATATATTTCAACAAAAACAATCCCAAGCGTCAACGCCAGACCTACTGTGCAGACATTATAATTAGGCAACTGTTAATACAATGAGGGCGCGTCACAAGCATAAAACATAAAAAGACCTAAATCCATTACTGCTCCCAGGGCGTGTAAAGATACTGTGCTTCATGTTCGAAGTTCATTTTGATTACACACACACAATCATTGCATTCACATAAAGATCGGACTATCATGGTCGTGTCACTATTAACGAAGACAGCCCCACCTTCTTACCGTGCCTGTTACTTATTAAGCGCGACTGGACCGCGAGTGTTACTGACGCCGGTCAGATACCCGGGATATCTGCTTAGAGAACCTCTGCTACCAGACAACTGCCTAAACCTACGGCCTATTCCACAGGATTGTAAAAGTAGGGATGTTTCTAAAATTTGCATTTACTTCAATATCAAAACTGCTACGGTGAAAATAAAAAGACGCGCATCATCACGGATATAATGGTACACCACATGCCCAATTACACAGAAATGCGACGTACGGAAGAATGCGTTTTGGCTGCGAACATCTTCAAAAAAACTTGGCATCTCTTAAGCATGGGCTAAAACATCTGGAACCACTTATCAAAACCACCCCGTATCTGCATGAAGTTCCATCCCCCCCACTGCTATTCCAAACAACGCGTTTTTCTGGACCATTCCAATTCGCCTCGTAATTGTAGGGGTGCGTCTGCAATATTACATTGACCGCGAAGGCAGCAACGGCAAAAATACACATTCGTGCATCAACACGGGCATGCCCGCAGACGGCGTATAAAATTGCATGCCGATTACACAAAGAGAACCCAGTGTTTTGACTGCGAACATGAAAAATCAGCCGTTCACAACACTCCGTCCGGAGGTCCTGACCTCCTTCACGGAGTAATAAAAACCTGATAGAATGTCATTAATTTTTTATAGTGAGCGACAACTGTGGTACAGTTTTAGGCTGTTGGGTCTTTCCAGGAGAAACAATACTGACCCTGATGCAGCAGTTCGTGAGGCAATTCAGGTGGGTTCATATTCAGCATATTCAAATCTAAGAAATTTATGTATTTCAGTTGCATTGCATAATTTTAGTCTGCTTTAACAGTAGAAGTTTTTGATATATGTGTAGAATTTGTTTATTTGTCACTGTACATGTATCCTTATTTCTCCATGTGCAATGATAAGATTATGTCAAGTGGCATTTGCCATATCAAAGACAACATCTCAATGCCAAGACATGACAGTCAATTAGACTACTTTTCCAGTCTGTTAAAGTAACCACTTAACCATGTAACCACTCAATTTCAGAAAATGTTTCTTTGTTAATTAATTAGATTACACTGAGTAAAATATTTTACCTTGTGTATTTTGTAGAAGTTGAAAAAGGGTTCTGCTACTCTAAATTTAGTTTTGTCATTTTAAATGCCAATTATTGTCCAGCTTGCTAGCCACTGTAGTGTGGCCCCATGTCAGGCCCTGTCTGACTTGTCAACATAATATTTCCAGTTTTTACTGACCAGTGTCAAGTAACCAAAAAACTGCACTGTAAGTTCTTTCCCTTCTAGTCATCTCTCTTTTTTTTGTCCCTCTGCAGACCTCTTTTTAGGTCTTGTCTCAACTTATTTTCTATTTACTGCTCCGCCCCTCTTTATGTTCAATTGTCTCACTTGTCAACCTCCTTAAATTAAAGGTGGAAGTGAAACAATGGTACATGTACCTGTTGCATTGTTTTCATAGTATGGTAATGAGAAGACGCCTTAGATCAAGTTACATGTATGAATCTACAGGCACTTCTAATGTAATTTTAGGGCACCTGTTAATCGAACTGCAAATGGTTGCTTACAGCAAGAGCTTCATTGGCCCAACAGAACTGCTGGCTACGGCAGAATGTGGCGTTGCCTTTTAAGAGATTATAATCTTAATGTCAGAAGGTGAGAATAGTAGGTTTTTTCTTCAATGATGCTATTTAGCCTGGCTGAGTAATCTGGCTATTTATTTTTTCCTTCTCTGGTTGAAAATTATATCTTCTTTTGATGAAAAATCTTTCAATGTAGAAGTTGATTCGTTAGAAAAGCTGTAATCAAATTCAGTCAGCTGTTGTACATCACACAGACATATCTGTCACACCTGGCTGTTGTACATCACACTACCTGTTACACCTGGCTGTTGTACATCACACTACCTGTCACACCTGGCTGTTGTACATCACACTACCTGTCACACCTGGCTGTTGACCATCACACTACCTGTTACACCTGGCTGTTGTACATCACACAGACATACCTGTCACACCTGGCTGTTGTACATCACACTACCTGTTACACCTGGCTGTTGTACACCACACTACCTGTCACACCTGGCTGTTGTACATCACACTACCTGTTACACCTGGCTGTTGTACATCACACTACCTGTCACACCTGGCTGTTGTACATCACACTACCTGTTACACCTGGCTGTTGTACATCACACTACCTGTTACACCTGGCTGTTGTGCATCGCACTACCTGTTACACCTGGAGGTTGTACATCACACTACCTGTTACACCTGGCTGTTGTACATCACACTACCTGTTACACCTGGCTGCCCTATACCACACCTGAGAACATTTTTATGACATTGTGTTTAACCGTTTTATTTCCTGTTTTTCTTATTTATTTTAGATTCGAGGCAATGACAGACATAACGTCATCTTCGGGCGGGATGAGGCTGGATGCCCCACCAGACGTAAATAGACCATACTCAGCGATTTTAAGAATGTTGTATATACAATGTATTTTTGGCACATTAGTATATAATTGTCTGATATCCATGTCTGCAAACCTGGCAAGTCTGGTGAAATCACACAGACGTATATTGGAAATGCCATGACTCAAAGAAAAAAAATTTTTTTCTAAACTTTTTTTTGTACTTTTTTGTACTTTTTTTGTGCAAGAAGGAGGATAGAATTAATGCCATATTTCTTCACTATAGGACAACTTTGGCAAATGCATTACTCTGGTGCATTTGACGAGGACCAGGCAAATTTCATCGGTGAATGCATCCAGAAAGAGGTGCCGGTCCCTCTGGATTTGTCCTTGGTGAGACACAATCTCCAATGTGTTACATTCTCATCATTTGTTAATAATTTTGTCTCACTTTAAGTTTTTAAAATAAAGTTGAATTTAAATTACAACTAGGAAGACAAGGAGTTTTTAAACCCTCATCTGGTGCCAAAAAACGAGCACTATGGACCAGATTTTTGGCAAATAAAAAAAACTGAAGTGGGCAATTCAGAGAACCAACAATTTAAATTGGTTTGGCCTTAGCTGTCTTATATATAACCCATTTTCTTCTTTTGGCTACAGGCGAATAGAATAAATACACATTAAAGGGGATTGATAATGAATTGAGTTCCTGATGTGTTCTTGAACAAACTTGTGGATGTATTGTATCTGTGTCGACGTATATAGAGAATGAATACACTTGAATGGGACTTGGTAATGAGGGAGGAGGCAAGGGTCATTCATGTTATAGTCCTACATACACTAATAAACCCACGTATATGTTGTATTGCAGGTACTTACTCCGGGAGACAAACCACACAGGAACTCCAAACACCCTGAGTATATTTTGCGATGTCGTGGGGAAAGAATGCAGCAAATCGGTAGGTTTGTCTATGATATAATTGCTTTTGCTGTTTATCTGCATACAATTATAACTTACTCAAAATAAGATACTATGTGTACATGATGCAACTGTGAACATGCTAAAAACTAAGTTGAAATTGAAGTTCGAAGAATAGTCTTATTTTGTAGGGTGCGTGTAATTTTCATACTTTCCGGCATACAGAATATATAATATTAAGGTTTGTCCAATGGTTGCTAGAATTGTTGTTTATTACTTTAGATGCTGATGTTTTGACGAGTGTGCCGCTCGCTGAGGAATCAGCTATCATTAGAGGAGCAACAAACCAACATCAACCAGGTAAACCCAAGAGGTATCGGGAGGCCAGAATGAGGCGCGGCGCAGTTCCTAGCCGTGGACAAAATGTGGCCGACCGTGTACAACAGCTGGAGGCACCTGATCCATTTGCCCGCCAGGTCATCAGTGGCTACAACAAGGTAAACTACAAGTATATAACATATACAAGTCCTCATTATCATAATAGACCTAATTATCATTTTGGTAAACGATCGTTAAAAAGCTATGCTAACCACAGAACAAAATGTAGATCTGACATTGTGATGTTTATTTTACTGCATGTATTTTATTATTTCATCTTAGCTAAGTGCTTATTCAATTCATAATTCAAGGACAGTGTACTAGTACCAATGAGTAACTTACAGCGGGAATTTAAGCATATTCTACTTTACTGCATCTTCTCAAGCATGTTTTAGTTACAGGAACGAGCTGTCATCCTGTATACGGATGAACAGCTGCAGGACCTGAAGCGGCTTTGCTGTTCAATCGCACACGGCGGGTGACGCAGAGAACATAATCCTTGGCGTCGACAAGACCAAAAATGCAAATTGTAGTACTTTCTTTGACCACATTAAAAGTAAATTAGCCACCATCGCTTGCCGTGGTCGGGAGTGACAATGAAAACCATTGCGAGTGGCAAAACCCAGGGCGTGGCCAGGATGTCACCAGTTATATTGTCATCGTCATTAAAGTACAATCTTTGGCGTGGTAAAGCCAATGATATGCCTTGCGGCATCTGTGAAATAAACCTTCTTGTTCAAAGTGGCCAGACCCAAGTGATTTTCACACGGCTGAAGAACGGTATTCAGAGTTCTTCTACTGCGGGTGATAACTCCAGAATAGTGTGGCGGGTGATAACTCCAGAATAGTGTGGCGGGTGATAACTCCAGAATAGTGTGCCAGGTTTTCAATCTTTCCTTTTGCAATTAAAACCATCACGCGCACTCTTGTTTGTTCCCTACAATGAAATTAAGTTCACGTGAACATTTCTTCCTTGAAGTTAAGAATTGTTATCTTGTCCACGTTGCACGAACATAAGCCCTGAGGATTGCGTGCCTTTAACATACAGACTGGATGGTAACCCGTTTAACATGGCGCAAACGAAAGTCCAGAAAATCCTTGAACCACTACTTCAGCGTCTGTCTCTGAGTAAGATTTGTTTCTCTTCTCTTGTGCTTGCACGAACTACCGTGGAAACAAAGAGTAGATTTAGAGAAGGACGATGTAGAGATGTTGTGGATTGAGATACACATACCGCAAGTAAAACCAATATTAGTCAGCTGTATCTATAGACCACCAAGCTCGACTATCCAGTATCTCAGTGGAATTCTTGCGTCGATTGACAAAACAACTGACACGGACACAGAAGTGTTTGTGCTGGGGGACATCAACATAGACTGGGCAGATGCCTCCTGTCCAACTAGGAAGCACCTTGCCCAAGCTGCAGAAAGATGTAACCTGGTACAAATGATAAAAGGGCCTACTAGAGTTGGTACCAAGAAGAACAACCAACATACAGCGACATGTATCGACTCGGCATTCGTTAATTGCAATGACAGATGCACACCAGCTCGATCTGTCCCAGTCGGCTACTCAGACCACAACATAATCTACTTGACAAGAAAAATTCAAGTTCCAAAGTCACAGTCAAGAGTCGTCTTTAAAAGGATTTACGGGAAATTCAGCCCAGAAGAGTTTCAGACGGACATTACTGAGGCTCCCTGGCATCTTGTGTACAACGAAGCTGATGTCAACATGCACTTCACGTCTTTACAACCATGTTTACCAATGAAACAGATCACCAGGCGCCTGTATTAAAAGAAACGGACATTGCGATCAAACCCAGCCGCCTGGTTAGATGATGAACTTAGGGAAATGATGCAGCTTCGAGACGACGTCAGGAGAGAGTCTGCTGCATTTGCTCTTTAGTCAGACAAGGACATCTACAAAAAGCTTCGGAATGCTGTAGTAAACTTGAACAGGAAAAAGAAAGCTGCTTACTTCAAATCAAAACTCGCAGACAGCCAAAATGACCCTAAAGCAATGTGGAAAACCTTCAACGGAATCATACGAAGAGGATCTAAACGGATCTACTAGCTTTGTTGAGCAAAACGGTGTTTACTTAACTAAGGCAAAAGACATTGCTGAGCACTTCAATTCCTTTTTCCTTCACAAAGTTGACTCCCTGCGTGAAGAGCTACACTCTCAGACCGGGGACGACATCCTTCATGTCAGTAAGGAGAAGATTATGATGGGAAAAGACTGCACCTTCGACTTCAAACTGGCTAATGCTACGGACGTTCACACACTGCTGCTGTCCTTATCAGATGGTAAGGCAGTGGGACTGGACAATGTGGATAACACACTTATGAGAATAGCCGCAGACCACATAGCTGCCCCTCTTACTTACATCATCAATTTGTCCTTTGCCACCTCAGTGTATCCTACAGATTGGAAAAGAGCAAAGGTAGTGCCAATCCCTAAGTCTGAAACAGCACCGTTTTTTGGACCGATCAGCAGACCAATTAGCCTCCTATCAGCTACCAGTAAAATCATGGCGCGCATTGTCAACAACCAAATATCAGATTACTTCCAACAAAACGCACTTATGTCTACCCAGCAACACGCTTACAGGAGGCATCATTTTACTAGTACGGCACTGCTACAAATGGTGGATGACTGGTATGACAACATCGACCGAGGTAATCTTGTAGGTATTATGTTTTTGGACTTTTCAGCTGCCTTTGATCTTGTAGATCACTGCTTTTTACTTCAGAAGCTCACCTGCTACGGCCTTGGAGACACCGCAGTTGGATGGCTAGCTACCTGTCAACGGGACTAACTCATCCTTCAGGGATCTGCCACCATGCGGTGTACCACAAGGGAGTTGCCTTGGGCCACTCTTGTTCACCATCTACACCAATGATTTGCCGATTGCCATGACTAAGACTGATGCCTCCATGTATGCTGACGACACGTCTGCTTAAACCTGCGACCGGTCCATAGAGACAATCTCGCTCAACCTACAGCTGGCGATGAATGACATCTGGAACTGGGTTAGCATAAATAAACTGTTTCTAAATGCGTCAAAGACCAAATGTATGGTAATAGGAAGTAAACTCAAAGACTAGTGGCGAAGAGACCTGTTCTCACCATACATGCCGGGGGGAAACAAATCGAGCAAGTCACTGAAATGAAGCTGCTTGGGTAAACTCTGGACGAATGTCTCACATGGGACCAGCACGTCAGGAACACCACTAAGACAATGTCCCGATCCCTCGGCTTCATTAGGAAATGTGCAAAATACCTCGATGAGTCAACACTAAGGGTAGTGATTGAAGCCCTCACCTTATCTCATCTGGATTATTGCACTCCAGTGTGGTCAGGTACAACACAAAAGAACATTGACACATTACAAAAGATGCAGAACAAAGCCAGACGTCTGGCTCACGGCAAACCTGGGTGGGAAACTGTGGACACAAGACTACAACTAAACACACTGTGCACATTTCAGAGGATTCTTTCAATAAGGAACCCAGTTCTTTGTACCGCAACCTTTCCTTTGTCTCAAACCACCATAGTCACAGAACTCGTTATGCTACTAGACTAACTTTATATTAGCTCTGGAAAAACCAGGAACGAATGCAAAGAAAAAAAGCTTCAGATACATAAGTATTTCCACATGGAATAACTTACCATCAGACCCGCAGCACTTAAGAGAAAAGGACGGTTTTCAATCAGGACTGGTTAAGTACTTCCACGCAAGATAGACGAAATCATTATAACTCAAGATAATAATCATTATAACTCAAGATAAAGCATTTTAATGTAAAATATGTTATAATTCTATTATTGAATCTGTAAAGTTGAATGTCTTTTTAATGATTGTAAAGCGTTAAGCATGTGTAGGATAAAATTTTGTAGAAGTTTAGTGGCGTAGATTCTAAAAGTCATTTTTATATGATTGTGAAGTCTGTGACAGGACAAGGATACTGCAGAAAAGAGGACACAGTTTGGTTCTTGTTGAAGCTCCTTCAATGGTAAATCGTAACTCTCAGGGTGCCAATCCCTACGCGCTATTGCCGGTTCCATTAAGGAGTCCGCCGAGAAAGTTACACCCGTTTCTATCTTGCTCCTCCCTGCGTTATGTGAAAAAAGATTGGAACGGTTCTAACTACTATGGCTCAATACAAGGCGAGCTAAGGTTTGTTGGTCTTCGCCAGACTCCTTTGCAGGCTGAACAAATCGTAGAAGTCGGCCTAAAAGGGCATATAGGACCTTTAGGCCAAATGGACCCTCTATTCCCGGCCAACTCCTCTGGCCAATTATAATTATATCCCCCTTCAAGTCGATTTCTACGATTTATGCAGCCTGCAAAGGAGTCTGGTGGAGACCAGCGGTTTGTGGTAAAACGACTGCGCCCAAAAGTTGGAACGTTTTCTGGGTACATATTAAAGCCGTGAGGTGGTCATGCCTTCAGGCAGGCTACGTGATTGTGCATGATCGCTAAAGAGACCTGAAATTGAATGTACTGGAATAAATAGGCCTTACAGACGGTGTCTGTGTTGTGTACCGGTGCGGAAGAATATCATTGCAATGCGTAATTACAAGGTTTAAATTTCCTTGACGACGGCGAATACCAGAACCCACGCCAATTATCACTTGGACTTGCCATGGACCACACACTGCAGGTAAAATCAAGGTGTGCCGGCCGTTTCAGGACAACTTTAAACCTTTTAGGCTGAGAGAATCGGCTGGTACAAAATTTGTACCAAAGTTTGTGGCAGCAAGGAGCCCAGGAGAGGAAATGTAAGTACTAGTGCTCTTTCCTCCTCAGTTTTCGCGTTGTTTTCTCGTGTTGTATTCAGAATCGTGATTTAACCGAACTACTAGTATGTTCTAGCACGGTTCCAGTGGATATTCTAAGCGTATCCAGAACCGTGCCTGGGTCAAATCTACGTTCTTGGATATCCAGAACCGTGCCTGATCCTAACCTTAACCAATTCAGGCATGGAATTAGATACGCTAGCACGGATCTGATACTGCACTTTGTGAAATCAAGGAGGTTAGAATAGGGAGTAGCGGCCTAACTTAAGCTGAGTTGAGTTGGAAAGTTCAAAACAACCTATGCTGGCGCAAGAATTTCATTCCTTAATGACTTTCCTTAGTTACAAGTCTTGTATCTAACAACACTGCAGCCCGCCAGCATAGGTTCTAGCCTTGTCGGTGGTGTGAGTTATAACAGGGACCCGCAAATCTGAACCGCTAACTTAACAGTGCTGTTAAGTACATAATTGTGTGTAACGTGTGAGACTAATATAATGTCTAATATTCACAGAATCTGCCAACTTTAACCGAGGCAGAAGACAAACCACGGCCGCCAGGAGAGTTTAGTTTGATGATTTCAGGTGAGACTGTAACTTTCACTTTGTATTACCAGTACTAACAACTCAGGCCATTGTGGTCTGCTTTTCAGGTAATCCTGGATATAATGGGTAGACGCATAAAGGTACTAGTAGTAGTATAACCTTCAAGCAGATGTGTGAGGAAACAAAAAAGAGACCGAGACTGTTTTTGAAGCACTGCTTAAGTGACGCTCATTTGCCTAACAACATTTGGCACTTCCACTAGCTATATTATAAGAACAACTGAAGTAACCAAACCAAGCTGCAAACGACAGTGTCAGCAAATCTATTCATGAGACTATGTCAAAATGCTCTGATATCATGACCTATGTATGGATTGTGTAAGTACTAATAGCTATAAAATTGTGCCGTGTTAATTGATAAATAAAAACTCTGTTGTGCAGATAAAATGACAGACAGGATGAAGAGGTTTTTGGTTCTTCTGCTGATCATCCTGAAGGAAGCTGGCCCGACCGCAGCCTGCAGCAGCAGCTATCCATCATACTATGACTGCAGCGACAGAGTCCTCACCAGTGTTCCTCAAGACCTGCCGACATACATCACTTTCCTCATCCTGTCTGGCAGCAACATCACAACCGTGAGTCAGTCCGACTTCTCCAGGTACAGCAACCTGACACACAAGTTACTTGAACATAACCAGATCTCCTTAATAAACAGCGGAGCGTTCTACAACTTATCCAGGTTATATCAAATGTACCTTTACAATAACCAGCTAACGAGTCTCCGAACAGACATATTTGTGGGACTTGAAAACCTGTTCGAACTTAGCCTAGCTAACAACAACATCCACAGTTTCGAGGCGGGAACCCTTAACGCCACCCCACAGCTTCAACGGCTTAAACTTCAGAACAACGACATCAAGACTTTCCCAGTTGAGGCCCTATCAAATTTAAATACGTCAACTTTGTCAATCCTAAGGATGAACCACAACCAGATGGAGACTCTCCCATCCGCGGCATATGACATCCTGGCCTCCATCTCATATTATGTAGACATCAGCAACAACCCCTGGCAGTGTGACTGCAGGATGCTTCCCTTCAAGCTAAGGATGAACGGTTCCTATCCATTTGAAGACCAGATCACCTGTGCCGGACCTGCTAACCTTACAGGGAAAAGCCTGTTACTCGCTGTAGAGGCTGAAGATCTGGTCTGTGAAGAAACCACCACTACTGGGTTCTCAGTCCACACTACACCTTCCGGTGGATCATCGACCCCTTCCGAAGAATTCTCCCTTCTCATCGGCGTCCTTTGCGGGGTGGCCGGAGTCGTTCTCGTCTCGGCCGTTTCCCTGACGATCTGGTGCCGAATCGCTCGCAAAACCAGCTTCACACCTGACGTTACCGAACTTACCGACTGTGCTGCCCCCCATCCCTAATGCTAACGTTACTGACCGTCCTACCCTCACCACACCCCTAACGCTACCGACCGTGCTGCCCCCCCACCCCTAACGTTACCGACCGTGCTGCCCCCACCCACCCCTAACGCTAACGTTACCGACCGTGCTGCCCCCAACCCACCCCTAACGGTTCTTGATACGAAACTGTCCACAACTCTGGCTGTTTATAATCCATAGATCACCCGTCAATTGCAAGGTCTGTAGTAGTCTTGAAGTCTACTACAGACCTTGCAATTGACGTGTCTTGATTGTAATTCTAAGCTGCATAAAAAGCGAGAAGTAGTTGCACCTGTACATACTAGCGGTACGCACTTGTAACAGCATAAAGTACACGGTCTTTTAGCCATTGTATAAACTACAGCAAAACAAACTATAGCGGTTTGTCTGGCAGCCTTCTGGCGCCTTTCTGGCTGAATTCCGAAGCTTGTTAAGATTGCTGCGTAAATATATATCAACAGTTTAGTCAACATGTCTTTTGTTCAAGTCACATTCTAGAAACAACTTGCACTTAAAGTTTTATATAGTGAAAACATCTTGAGATAATTAACTAGATAGAATGCCGATTGGTTTCCTGTTTTATTATGATGTTTTAGTGGTGACTGAATAATAGGGTTGATTCTTTACTAATGTGTTTTCACAAATATAACGTTGACTGTGTATGTATATGTTCTGTTACTAACTACTAAAAGTTTTGTATTGCTGTGACGTTTGCGGTGAGACTAAGGCGTTTTTTCACTTGTGACGTCATGTAGAATAATGTGTTAAATTTGTTTGTTGTAACCGCGCTGTGTAGTAGATTTTGTTTAACGAAAGAAGCTGCAGAAATTGATGGAAGGGATATGAACTCATCTTGTTGTGTTTGCTTGATATTCTAAATAAATCATATCGGTTATTATGCGTTCCGACTGTTTTTCTGAACATCTGCACCGTCAGGATCACTGAACGTCCTATATTTATAAAATTGCCTTGATCTTCTTGTGAACGAGCAATGGTAGACCAAAAGCGCCAAGTAGCGACCGACTCTGTATTGTTTTGTCTTATGTTCTTGGAATCCAGGAAGATTAGTCGCACAAAAATTTACTAATGGATATCCTAATAAAGTATCAAGTTGTAGTCTTTCAGCTAGTAACGCTATATCATCTGTAAAATCTAGGTCATTTATGACAACACGTGGGTGTCGTCTACTGAAAACCAAATATTGACTGCATTGCTTAGGTTGCTGTGACTGTTGTGGGGAGATGGTAGTGAGAAGAAGCCTCCCTGGCCATATGTCGATATGCCCCAATGCCGGAGTGCACTGCTACTGCTGCCAGAAATCAATGGTGCAGGGACAGTACGAGAAACACACAAGCTTCCTCTGCCCAGAAAAGACCATACAGTGTCTGTTGCAGTGTAAATTACGTGGTGAGGTAGGTTGTCATGGCTAATATGAGTAGTTTTTAAGTTGTTTGAATATTCATAAATTCAGTTATCAAAAAGAATTTAAGTTATGTAAGAATTATGCACGGTTTTGTTATAAACTTGGGATTGTTTTCAAAAGTGATCAATACAAAAACAGTACCACAAACATATACATATACATACACATACATCTTATATACACCAAATGTAAAATGATTTAACTGACTTTTATGGCCATGATTCATGGCCAATTGAAAAGGTTTCCCCATGGTCCTTATTTGCATAAATCACTATTCAATGATTGTTTGTCATATGAAAGTCCCATCATAGACGTCTATTCTAGCATTAGTTTCTCATATAAACAAAAAGGCTATAATAATTATGATTCCTAATTATATGCACATAGCACTGCCCAGTGAAGTATGTAGAAATATATTGGTCTCATGTAATTATTGTACCACGTCTGACATGATCAGGATTTTAAGTGATAGAATGTCATTTGAATTTTTTTCAGTCCGTGTCTGATCTGAAGGGAGACTGCAGGGGACAGTCCATGCGTTTACATGGACCGTCCAGGATGCAACGATTACCACCAAGAGCCCGCCTTTTCAGACAAGCGAGCTGAAGTGAACGCTCTACATCCTCCCATCCGACAGGAACACGAGGAAGCACCTTGGTGTGTTCGTGAAACTTTCAGAGGGCCACCCTACGCTGGCAAACATGAGGTAAATCAAGGAGCTCTTTTGGTAAATTCAAAGCTGCCATGTAAAGAAAATGAAGCCAGCTTTTGTTGTCCAATAGCTTAACTGGGTTCTTATTGACTTAAGTGTTTTCAGACGTCTCCTCTATTTGGTATTAAGATTTTTTTGCGAAAGCAGATGTACATAGAACCTAGGCCACAGCAGGTAAATTTTAAGGATAACATCCTCCAGAGACGCCAAATCTAATGCGATAGGGAAGAAAGGCCCAAAGAAAACAAGATTCCTACATTTTGAAAAAAATGCTCATTGATGTCATCTATACAAATCCATACTTGTTGTGGCCCTAGTAAGTGTCACAAGAAAAGTGGATAGGAGGAGGTTGAAGATCAAGCTGTCACAATTGTAGTTGCAACAAAATTTCACTGGCAAGGTCTGCACCAGAGGCTAGCCTTAGTTTTAAGAAAAGTCTTAAAACAAGATTTACCGCATTGCCATAAAACCTGTTCTGCATAAACATAATATATTTGTTTTCCAACTTGTAGGCTGCAGCAGTCGGTGTCTTAAGGAAGAAAGACGGGACTGCAGGGGACAGTCCATGCATTTACATAGACTGTTCAGAATTCGACTGTGACAACAAAGAGCACACTTTTTCGGACAAGCGAGCTGAAAGTGGACTATCTGCATTCTGCCTTCTGACAGGAGACCCCATACGCATACCGTTTATAGTAACTAGTAACTAATGGTGACCACCGTTATATACTAACTAATAAGCCAAGAGGCTATCTTCACATCCTAGGATGTGACCGTTATTAGTAACTCAGTTCCTTACTAAGATAGTTAACGGCCGGACAGTGTTGCACACGCAGTTATATGGGTAATCAGGAGTAAATTTCTTGGCGAGGTCACCCGGTAGATGACCTCTAGTAGGTGTAATGGCCGCCATTTTTGACCTGACTCGGACATATTTTACTAGTATTCAGGAAAATAAACACGCGGCTGCTGCCACGAGATGTTTTTAATACTGTTAACGGAGTATTATTATAGCTTAGTTAAAGTACATGTACTTTCATGAGACCATCGACTGATGCGAAACAACGACGGGCAGATTGCATTTCGACTTTTTGGATGGATGTTTGTTTGACCCGATCCCTCGTCTTTTCGCCAACAAATCACGTCCAACTTTGATATTAAAGGCATGTTACATAGGTAGGTGTTTCTTGCCTGTTTTCACTGTATATATCGCCGTAGTTTTGAACATCTCAATATTATTTTATTTCTAAGCAGATTCTGTGGCGTAAGCGAGTCAATATTCCATATATTGCCCGGCTGTATCCATTGACTAATCTCCAAGCAGATGTTTGGGGGAGGGGGGGGGGGCAGTATCAAATTGGTCAATCTGGGGAAATGGTTACAGACTGGTCAATTTAATACTTGGAGATCCATTGACCTCCTGCTTGGCTGGCCCATGATGCGATGGTTTAAACTAAGACACTTACAGGAGACCAATGAATAAATATTATGTAAAAAAAAAGGCATCCAATTACTAGTATTGCCTCGTTTTTCCCACAGAATCTACTTGCAGGTTAAAGATTATTTTGTTTTCCACTTGGAGATTAAAAATTATTTTGTTGAGCTGATTTCGAGTTTGACGTTATTTATAATTGCCGTACAAAATTATATCAGATTTGGCATAATTTGATGGTTTAGATTAGAATGTGAGAGTGGCAATATTGTGGCAAATTGACCTGTTAGCAAAGATAATGTCGGATGTTGTTAGTTAACATTAATATCAATACCACAAAAGAAAGATCAGTTATCCAGATGATGACACTAATTACATGTAACAAGTTACATGCTACATATCCTAAATCATACATGCATTCATTACCATATCTCTAGTAACAATATCAGTTTGAAAGTAACTTAAGTTTATCCAATCTATCGTGCTTGGGGCAGGCTGTCTTCGGGGCTCTAATAGTTTTCCCCCTGTCCAGCTCAACAGACCACCCGGTATATTTGAATGATATGCTGCACACCAGGAGTTGATTCGCCCCTCCACAATCGAGCTTCAGCAGACCTGAAGAAAACCTGCCCAGCCACCTGGATACCAGGTTAGTGTGAAAGACTTTGTTGGTACTAGTTCTGTGGAATCATGCGGACTAGACCGGGTAGCAGATTCCGACTACCGTACATGTAGCTAGTAATGTGCTTGTCAAATATGGTATCGGTATAGCAGCCCTTCGGTGTGTGCACGCTAGCTAATTATAACTCAGCTTCTTCTGTCCAATTGCTAATTGCCAAAAAAAAAAGAAAGTTAAGCTCATTATTGAACTTCAGCCACCAAATTCCATCCACATTTTCAGAAAAAAAAGAAAATTGCAGAACCCAGTCGAAAAACATGACTTGTTTGTCTTCCACCGACTTAAAAAAGAACTCAAACATAACTACATGTTGTATTATAAAATTCATACCCCATTCATATACCTTACTAAGGCTTTGTACTAGTATGCATACTAGTAACCGGTTGAAGTCAGTAAGGGGAATAAGCTGGTCAAAACCCCATGTACACTTGGGACGACCTCAGCTCCCCTATTCTATCTACTGAGAAGAACGTCGCCTGGCCAATATGTAAACCTTTACTGCAGATTTTCTTGCAGCACATTGTTTCTGATATAATTACACACCTTTATGATCTTGGTCAAGCAAGAAGACAACTGCCCTGTAGTACCTGTTGACTTAGCAGCTGGATTTCCTAGACCTAGTCTTTCATCCCATTCTCCTTGAATATAGCCTTGAGTTTCCCAATGTATGAATCCACCCCCCACACACAATCTCCACCACACACACACATACTAGTATGATACTACTGTACACACA